GTGGGGGGGATATAAAGCAAGCAGACAGAGATGGTAAACAAGACCGGGCGGATATGGCGTTATGCCGCAAACCTTCTAACCTACCTTGCATAACATATTTTTTTATGTTTTTTTCCTCGCCTTGCCCCGAGGCAGACCTGCCCCTGCCCCCGCCCCCGCCCCCAAAAAGTTTTTATGTTTTCCTGTCAAGGATGCACTCCATATTTGAAGAATATGAAAGTGTGACTATATCATTTTCAGTTAAGATTAAAAACGACAATAGTTCTAAAGAGGAAAACGGTTCATCTCTATTTTATGATTTTTGAGATAGCACTTAGCTTTCCAATCCTAGTGAGTAAAGACAATTCGATGCTGTTGTCAAATACTAAAATACTGTGCTTGAGATGCTATACATAAAATAAAAAAAATTATTTAGTTCCCTGGAATATATAATGGAAGAAGAGAAGATAGCATGGAGTTGAGTTTTGCAGTTTTAACCACAAGGTTGGTTATTTTGTGGGGCTGCTTTTGATGCGATGGAACCTGGGTAGGGTGTAAAATAGGAGGAAAACATACAAATTTCCTGTTCACAGTTTAACCTCGCAACCCCCCCCCCACCCACACACACCCCCCCCCCTTCTATCTCTTCTAATTTTCTTCAAAAAAATGTTTAAACCTGAGACGCTCACCCACAAAAGAGCGAACCCGTCCCATTAGGTGCCGGGGCGAGCTTGGGCACATCTCGTGTAACGACCCAGCCGGTCGTTTCATGAGTTACAGCCCCGTTTTCCCCATTTCTACTTCTTTATGTGTTGTTCAGCGGTATTTCATCCTATCGTGTTGGTTGCTATGTGTTCGGAGTGGTCTTGGAGTGGGAATGAGACACTCACTCTCTAATTTAGGAGCTTAGGTTGGAAAAGTCAACTGGATGTTGACTTAGGTGTAGAAGGTCTCGAATGAGAATTCTGATGGTTCGAATAGCTTCGTTAGGTGATTTTGGACTTAGGAGCGTGTTCGGAATGCAATTTGGAGGTCCGTGGTAGATTTAGGCTTGAATTGGCAAAATTGAAAATTTGGCGTTTTCCGCTCGGTAGTGGAAATCTTGATATCGAGGTCGGAATAGAATTCCGGAAATTGGAGTAGGTCCGTTGTGTCATTGTGACGTGTGTGCAAAATTTCAGGTCATTCGAACGAGTTTTGATAGGTTTATACAACGTTTGCGGAATTCGGAAGTTTTGAAATCCTTAGGCTTGAATCCGAGGGTGATTTGGTGTTTTGATGTTGTTTTGAGCGTTCCGAAGGTTGGTATAAGTTTGAATGATGATATGTGACTTGTTGGTAGGTTTGGTTGAGGTCCCGAGGGCCTCCGGATGATTTCTGAAGGTTACCGGAGAATTGGAAAGATTGGAGTTGCAGCTGAAGCTGCTGTTTTCTGTCATAACCGCACCTGCGGATTGGGGACCGCAGGTGCGAGCCGCAGAAGCGGAAAGAAGACCGCAAAAGCGGCATTGGTCGCAGGAGCGGAGGGCTGGACCGCATCTGTGAAGCCCGCATGTGCGAGACTTGGGACGCAAGTGCGGCGCCTGAGGACTTAAGTGAATTCCGCAGGTGCGGATTTTTGGGCGCAGAAGCGGCTCGCGGGTGCGAGATTTTGTCCGCGGATGCGGAAATCGCTGGGCAGAAAGTATAAAAGGCCATCTTCGCGATTTTCAGCTTATTTCTCACCATTTTTGGACGGCTTTAAAGCTTTTGAGAGCGAATTTGAAAAGGGATTCAAGGGTTAACAGCAAGGTGAGTAACTTGAGTCCTAAAACTTATATATGTGATGACTTCCCGTTGTTTAATCATGGAATTTGTGGAAAAATTAGGGATGAAATTGGGAGATTAGAGCTTGAAATTGGAGAGTTTAAATTGGGAATTTGAGGGGCCATTTGAGGTCCGATTTTGATGATTTTGGTATGTATAGACTCGTGAGAGGATAAGGATTCTAGTGTTGTGATTTTTATCGAATTCCGAGCGTGGGCCCGNNCTCATCCGGGTGTGAAAGGAATTGGAGCGTGTTTGAGCATGTAAGAACTAATAAGAAAGATTTAGTATATTGAGATAATTAAATTATATCTCAATTGTCCTAATCTTACTAATTACTTATTATTTGCAGATCCATACCAAAAAGAGGAACAAACTAACCTTGAAGCGTCTCAATGATCTAGTCTTCATTAAGTACAATAGAACATTGAGGCGTCGTTACAACGCTCGCAATGTAATTGATCCAATTAGTTTGGACAACATCGATGATGCTAATGAATGGCTAACTGGAGTCCCGAAAGATCATGCAAATGAAGAAGTATTTGAGGATACTTCTGATATCACTTGGGGTGATGTTGCGGAGGCGCGTGGAATTGGGGAGAGGATTTATGGTTTGAGGGGGAGTACCTCAACTTCAAGTTCACAGAGGAAGGGAAAACAGGCAGCTACTTTGTCCCTAGTTGATGAAGAAGATGAAGTTGAAGAAGATGACGAGCAATATAATAATGATAGTGGAATACAAGAATTTGACAATCTTGTAGAAGAATAGGATGCTCATTTTGTGCTTTAATTGATGCTACTCTTTAGTTTTTTAATTGAAGTATTGAACATTTGCTTACAATTACATGTGTTGTCTATGCCGTATTTATTTTAAATTTTTTTTTAAATCCCGCTTCACTTAAAAAAAGCGAGCGCTTCGCTTCTCGCTTCTCGCTTTTCGTGAAATGGGGGGTGTCGCTTTTCCTCGCTTCACGCTTTTCACAACAACGGTACCATCCGGGGAAGGCCAATGTAGTGGTCGATGCCTTGAGTAGGAAGGCGGCGAGTATGGGCAGTTTGGCGTATATTCCTGTTGGGGAGAGACCTCTTGCAGTTGATGTTCAGGCCTTAGCCAATCGGTTCGTGAGGTTGGATATTTCGGAGCCTAGTTGGATCTTAGCTTGTGTGGTTTCGCGGTCTTCCTTGTTCGATCGCATCAGAGAGCGCCAGTATGATGATCCTCATTTGCTTGTCCTCAAGGACAGAGTTCAGCACGACGATGCACTATTGGTGATGATGGGGTATTAAGGATGCAGGGCCGGATATGTGTACCCAATGTAGATGGACTTCGGGAGTTGATTCTGGAGGAGGCCCATAGATCGCGATATTCCATCCATCCGGGCGCCGCGAAGATGTACCAGGATTTGAGATAATAATACTGGTGGAGGAGAATGAAGAAAGATATAGTGGGATTTGTAGCTCGGTGCCTCAATTGTCAGCTGGTGAAATACGAACATCAGAGGCCTGGTGGCTTGCTTCAGCAGATGGCTATTCCAGAGTGGAAGTGGGAGCGGATCACCATGAATTTTGTAGTTGGACTCCCACGGACTTTGAAGAAGTTCGATGTTATTTGGGTGATTGTGGACCGGCTGACCAAGTGCGCGCACTTCTTTCCTGTGTGTACTACCTATTCTTCAGAGCGGTTAACAGAGATTTATATCCGAGAGATTGTTCGCCTATATGGTGTCCCAGTTTCCATCATTTCAGATAGAGGTACTCAGTTCACTTCGCAGTTTTGGAGAGTCGTGCAGCGAGAGTTGGGTACCTAGGTTGAGTTGAGCACAACTTTTCACCCTCAGACGGACGGGCAGTCCGAGCGCACTATTCAGACATTGGAGGACATGTTGCGCGCTTGTGTCATTGATTTTGGGGGTTCATGGGATCAGTTTCTACCGCTCGCAGAGTTTGCATATAACAGCAGCTATCAGTCGAGTATTCAGATAGCTATATGAGGCTTTATATGGGAGACGGTGTAGATTTCCAGTTGGTTGGTTTGAGCCGGGCGAGGCTAGGCTTTTGGGTACAGAGTTGGTACAGGATGCTTTGGACAAGGTGAAAGTGATTCAGGAGCGGCTTCGTACAGCGCAATCGAGACAGAAAAGTTATGCTGGCAGGAAGGTCCATGATGTGTCTTACATGGTTGAGGAGAAGGTTCTACCGAAGGTATCACCCATGAAGGGTGTTATGAGATTTGGGAAGGAGGGTAAATTGAGTCCTCGGTTCATTGGGCCTTTTGAGGTGCTTCGAAGGATTGGGGAGGTGGCTTATGAGCTGGCGTTGTCACCTAGCTTGACGAGTGTGCATCCGGTATTTCATGTTTCTATGCTTCGGAAGTATATTGGCAATCCGTCTCTTGTTTTGGATTTCAGCACGGTTCAGGCTACTTGGGAGACCGAGCGGGAGATGCGGCGCGGATATCCACACCTGTTTGAGGTTTCAGGTATGTTTCTTGACTCGTTCGAGGACGAACGTTTGTTTAAGAGGGGGAGGATGTAACGACCCGACCAATCATTTCATGAGTTACAGCCACGTTTTCCCCATTTCTACTTCTTTATGTGTTGTTCAGCTGTATTTCATCATATCGTGTTGGTTGCTCTGTGTTCGCAGTGGTCTTGGAGTGGAATGAGACACTTAGTCTCTAATTTAGGAGCTTAAGTTGGAAAAGTCAACCGGATGTTGAATTATGTGTAGAAGGTCTCGGATGTGAATTCTGATGGTCCGGATAGCTTCTTTAGGTGATTTTGGACTTAGGAGCGTGTTCGGAATGCAATTTGGAGGTCCGTGGTAGATTTAGACTTGAATTGGCGAAATTGGAAATTTGGCGTTTCCCGGTCGGCAGTGAAAATCTTGATATCGGGGTCGGAAGGGAATTCTGGAAATTGGAGTAGGTCCGTTGTGTCATTTGTGACGTGTGTGCAAAATTTCACGTCATTCGGACGAGTTTTGATAGTTTTTTACAACGTTTGCGGAGTTCGGAAGTTTCGAAATCCTTAGGCTTGAATCCGAGGGTGATTTGGTGTTTCGATGTTGTTTTGAGTGTTCCGAAGGTTGGTATAAGTTTGCATGATGATATGTGACTTGTTGGTAGGTTTGGTTAAGGTCCCGAGGGCCTCGTGATTTCGGAGGGTTACCGGAGAGTTGGAAAGATTAGAGTTGCAGCTGAAGCTGCTGTTTTCTGTCATAACCGCACCTGCGGATTGGGGACCGCAGGTGCGAGCCGCAGGAGCGGAAAGGAGATCGCAGAAGCGGCATTGGTCGCAGGAGCGGAGGGCTGGACCGCATCTGTGAAGCCCGCAGGTGCGGCGTCTGAGGACTTAACTGAATTCCACAGGTGCGGATTTTTGGGCGCAGAAGCAGCTCGCGGGTGCGAGATTTTGTCCGCGGATGCAGAAATCGCTGGGCAGAAAGTATAAAAGGCCATCTTTGCGATTTTAAGCTTATTTCTCACCATTTTTGGACGGCTTTGAAGCTTTTGAGGGCGAATTTGAGAAGGGATTCAAGGGTTAACAGCAAGGTGAGTAACTTGAGTCCTAAAACTTATATATGTGATGACTTCCCGTTGTTTAATCATGGAATTTGTGGAAAAATTAGGGATGAAATCGGGAGATTAGGGCTTGAAATTGGAGAGTTTAAATTGGGGATTTGAGGGGCCATTTGAGGTCCGATTTTGATGATTTTGGTATGTATAGACTCGTGAGAGGATAAGGATTCTAGTGTTATGATTTTTATCGGATTCCGAGACGTGGGCCCGGGGGTCGAGTTTGGCCAATTTCGGAAATTTTGATTAAATTTGATAATTTTCGCGTGGTCTTTGTTCCTTTGGCGTGTATTGATGATATGATTCTGATTTTGGATAGATTCGGGGCGATTTGAGGCCGAGTCGAGAGGCAAGGGCATTGCGGAGTAGATTTTTCGTTCGCTTCGAGGTAAGTAACTATTGTAAATCTAGACCTGAGGGTATGAAACCCCGGAATTTAGTACTATTTTGATAAATGAGGTGACGCACATGCTAGGTGACGGGCGTGTGGGGTCGTGACATCTCGCCTATTCTGCCAAATACCTACTACCTCCGACCTACACGGGTAACTTTAGCCATCAAGGCTTAGAAAATAAAAAGAAACCACCTAGCACCTCTGTCTCTACTGCAATTTGAATCCTGGTCTCCCATGGTTTCACTCACTTCATTAACGGCTACGTCACACCATGCTAATTTTATCAGAAGTATTTCTTTTTTCTCCCCTCTAAAATAAAATAAGATAGGTGTTGTACAGAATTAATGTTACCTGAACCTCTGGAAGATCAGCCCGCATGAATGGGTTAGTTTCCATTTCTTCCTCAATGGTTGATGGAATTGTTGGAAGACCTACTCTTCTCTGATGCTCAGCCCATGCCAACTTTTGTGCAATTTTGGCATTGTCAGGTTCAACTGTTAAAGCAAACTGCAAATTTTTTACTGTGTACTGCAAATCATTTAACAAGCATTAGGATTCACTTAGAAAGTAGCGGATTGCTGCTAAAACACAAAAAGGTAACAGTCATCTTAGAAAAATTGCTAACACCATATGAACAAGTAATTCAGCGTGAGAGGCAGACAGTAATATGCTGAAATTTTATTTGTGGACAAGAAGCTTTATTTCCATGGCTTAACATTCATGTTTATATGTTCAGAACAAACCCCCCCCCCCCCCCCAAAGAGTTACCTTTAATTGTAGCATGTGAAGAATAGATCAATATCACAGTGAAACATGTTCAAGGGAGATATTTGAATGTGCATATATGAAAGGTGGATGCTATTTAACTTTTTTATTTGTCCTTCCTTTCAACTAAAGTGCTCATCACACTGAAGTCATGGAAGCTGTCATATTTGGTATACCCAGTCGAAGGGGAAAAATTTAAAGAGATATCATAACTCTGTGCTGTAACCTAGAACTGAGGGGCTAAAGTTGCTCTAGTCCATAAGATATGGACAAAGAAAGGGTAACTTGATGATTTGTTCTGCTTATTTTCCACTTTGTCCTCAACTGTTCTAAACTCTCTTTAATAGTCCTATTAAAAAATTGTTCAAATGTGGTACATTAGGTAGTTAACCGTTGATGTTCAAAATCTAGAATCCATCCTGAGAACACTATATGTGATACAAGAGTAATTCTTTTCGTTCAAAAATTTATAAGAGCATGCATACGTTACCTCATGGCCACAATACACCCGAGTTGGCTTTGGCAAAGAACCTAGTGTCACACACAGTGACTGATACATTTGTTCTGCAGTGCCTTCAAAAAACTTACCACAACCAGCAATAAACTGCAAGCCAAAAAGATGAATAATGTTAAAACAAAATTATTTTGATCATCCAACAGTCACAAAATATTTAAAGAAGACTGTCAGTTCAGAGGAAATCCTCCTACTCGCGTTGTCACACAATCTTCTGGTTTCACATACTGATTTGTTGCTTTATTCCACTTTTAACAGAACTTGAATAGGGTGGTTAGAGTTCCCATCATCTTCTCCCAAAAATAAAACCATTTCAAATTCATGAAGAGAAGTTCCAAGAAAGAGCAAAGCCAACTGGAAAGAGCAGACAGATGAACCAAAAGTGGTCCAGTCTACCGCCACCCTTCCAAATTTTGGACTACGTTACAGCTAAGTTGCTCGGACTCTTTACTTTAAGTGCCGCATCCGTGTCGACACGACGTCGGTTCCTTACCGGATCTGGTCAACCGATTTTGGGTATACAGATACAACAGTTTCTGAAATTAAAACAAAAGCTAGGGTGAAATTGAAGAAAATAGAATACCTTGTATATAGAAATCTCTATGTTAGTCGTTTTCCTTTTATCTCCTACTTGAATTCTCCTCTTGATCAATATTTTCTCCTTCTCAGACTACCTTATAAGTTTTTCTCATAGTATCTCATAATTTAGACATATTTTTATTAACTCTATTTTAGAAATTCAAATATTTTGAGCAGTATCCCCGCACCCATATACTAGATCTGTACGACCGAATCTTAAAATTTAGATCATGAAGGATCCAACCTCTAAACCTGCACCCGTATTGGCACCCGTACCCGAGTCCGAGCAACTTAGCGTTATGGTGAACAACTTATTGAGCAAAAGGAGTTTGAACCAAAATATTCTTGTGCTATCTACCATAATACCTACATGAGAAATTTACCAGAAAGGAGAGAAGCAGAAGATGGATTTGTTGTGATTGCAAGTCTGTGATGTCCCAAAAAAAATTGTGCTGTGCATTACAAAGATGGCTGAGGAAAGAGAGTGAAGATTGAAAGTGAAGCAAGATAGGAAGATTGATGAAAGTGTTTTCTTCAGTAGCCCGAATAATCTGTCAGTAATTGAGGACCTCATTCATTAATCAACAGCTACTCCTATGATTTTAATTTATTTGGAAAACACCTAGAAGCCTTTAAGTTGATTTCATATATTAAACGTTTTTCTGAAAATTCTCCACTATTTTAGGCTCCCGAAAGTTTTCTCCTTCCATTCCCTTGTGTTTGATCAATAAAAGATAATAATTTCATTAAGTCGGCTGCACTAAGTTGGTGCTGCAGTATGTATAACAAATACAGATACAGATTCCCATTGAATCCTGCAGGGAGCTAACTAAATATGAGATTGTTAGCACTCTCTATATATTCATTTCTACACCAAAAGGAAAGTAACCCAAGGCAGTTGACCTATTCTTTCGCATCGGCTCTGCTTTACTCTCATAGAATCTCAAGTACCTTCCTCTCCATCCTCCTGTTTTCATTTTTTTTTTTTTGAACATGAACTCTTGTCAACTGAACACTGCACCCATCTGTTTCCTCAATAATGTTCATGAGGAAGGAGCACCTTCCCGAACATGAAGAAAATAACAAACTAATAAACAAATGGCAGCAACAGAATTATGAAAGCAATCGTACAGGTGAAAATGAAGAAAGGTGCACCATGAAAGGCCTAATCTGGAAACACTGAAGACAAAGTGTGCGCTTGCTGCATAAGGAAATATGATTCGAACAAATTCTTAAAGTAGAGGCACAATAGTTGACACAAAGCAAAACATAGACTGTAAGGGAACCAACTATTAAATTAAGTTCCACTTACTCCTAAAAGATTTTGTAAAGGAGGTCGAGATCTCCACTCACCAATGTATCCCCAGTAAAAACAGCAGGATCCTCTCCCTCTTTGCCAGTAACATAGTAGCTTATATGACCTTTTGTGTGACTGAAAGGAGGGGAAAAGCAATTAATTTTGCGAAACGACCTTGTAGGAGAACGAGATGACATACAATTTTCTATAACGTATCAGAGATTATAATGGTGTGCTTCATAATATCCATTGAGTCTACTGCGACTCATTCAAGAGATATTTCCAAAATGAGTATAGCTTTTTTCCATTAGTACCAGGAAGCAGGGTCATCAAACAAGAGTATCCAAATAAGGAAAACAGCCGAGTCCTTGACAAAAAATCAGTATTAAGAACATCGAATTAAGAATAAGTAACGAAAGGAAGCGAGCAAACTTAATGTCACTTACCTTGGAGTGTGAAGAGATAATATGCTGGTGTCAGCACCAAGGGATATCTTGTCACCATTTTCAACTTTATCAGTACAACCCCTCACATTATCAACCGATCCACCATAAATTTTTATTCCAGGAACAAGCTGCTTCATTTTATCATTCCCTCCGGCATGATCCCTGAAATGTGTTTGCATTCATCAATATCAGACAAAAGCAGAATCCATAGATGAACCTAAATAGATTTATACAGCATATGCAGAATGATAAAACTTAAGAAACATCCTAAAGTTGACCTGATTTATGTATTTGTCCCAAAACATTTATCTCTGTGGAGGATTGTTCAACCCATGGAGCAAGCTCGTCTTATTTTCCCCTCTTGGGATACATGTAAACTCAATAAACATCCAGAGAACAAATGCAAAAAGGAGAAAGCAACCTAAATGACAAACCATCAAATAAGATTAAAATAATTAGTCATCCCCCCCCCCCCCCCCCGAAAAAATATCACAGATGCACTACATTCAACGCCTCAAGTTGAGGCCCGCTGAAAAGGGGACAACCCAGTGCACAAGACATCCTGCGTTCATGCAGGGTCCGGGGGGCCGCACCCTAAGGGGGGTGATGTAGACAAACTACCCTAATGCAAGCATTAGTGGCTGCTTCCACGGCACGCCTCAAGTTGAGGCCCGCTGCAATATTACAATTTCCAACTTTTCAATCTCATGTGATTGTGTCCATTTTAGTTGTAATACAAAATATATTAGCTACATATCATTTCTATCAGTATCTCATTTCTTTTTTACTTGTGTTATTAATCCATATATTATTAACTATTGCTCTCCTTCTTCATTTACATGAGGCAGTTTCGGCTTTCTGTTTTGGAATGGGACGTCCCAAAAATGTTTGATAAAGTTCAATTTCTTTACAATTTTCAAGGATTCAAATTCATTAGCATTCAAAATTTTACTATGATATGATGTTCTCTACCGAACAAACTTTCAATTTTAGTGTTTTCTTCTACTATCACCAATAAAATATACTAGTCAATGCACATCTTAAAAGTCCGTATCATATAAATTGTGATGGACGGAGTATCTATTATCAACATCCTTTCTTTTTTTTTTTTTTTTTTGTTAAGATTTATTGGTGTAAACCAGCAGACACTGGGGAAGGTTCATCACAGAGAATGTAAGGAACAGATAAAGTCCAACATAGCTTCAGGCTCTAAGAAGTTTGCTGCTGCAATGAAAACTAAGCAAGAATATACATTTGTGTTTAGGCTTAATTACATCTATTATCAACATCTTTTCTTTGGTTGAAACAAAGAGAATTTTGGGATTTTCAAGTTCTATCAAATGAGCAATTTTGTCCATTCATTAATCTGATGAAAAAAAAATTAAACATGTTCCTCAAAGAGAACTAATGCATTAGAACTGCACATATGACCAAATGGTCCCACATGATTTTGTTCTAATTACAAGACAATGCCTTTGCCAACGATCGTCCAACCAGTAAGCAAGGTGCGACAATTCACTTGCCCTTCTTTATAAACTTGACAATAGCTTTTTTTAAGAAAGTAAACTTGAGAAATAGCTATTTCTGAAAATTCCAATTTACATTTCAGGATAATGGATCCTTCATCATACATTAGACTATCACCCAAAATTGTTTTGACTCTGTCAATAAGGGCCCACTGTGTATGATATATGATTACAACTCCTATTTCAGTATTTGCATATTGAAATTCCGTATATGAGAAATATTGAAACACTAGTGTAAAGGTGTATTTCAAGTGAAATATTAGTTTCTACTCACAAATCTTCAACTTTCACAACCTTCTTTTTTGAAGTGAATTTCATGTCCAAACACCGACTTCCACAAACTTTTTTTTCAACTTCAACTTCCAACACTCTTTTTTTCAACTATAACTCAAAAATTGTCCAAACACCTCCGCTGGGCCTTCATAAGAACTTTGATCTGTCACTAATAGGGTAAAAACGATCAAACATGTGCTCTCGATTTCTAGCCTCAGGAAACAAAGAAATTAAAAACAACTAATATAAAAACCAAGAAATTCTCACAAACCAGCCAAATTCAACAATCAAATGGAAAATAAATAGAAAACTAAACAAAATGTAGAATTTAAAAATTCTTTAAAAAAAAGATAAAAAAAGAGGTTTCAGATAGCGAGCATTATTATCGGAACACTAAAAGAAAAAAGGACTACAGAAGTGGAACGGACCAATGGTGATGAGTGGTGAGAACAAACTTAAGGTCAACTTCATTCTCTTGAGCAACTCTAAGGACCTTATGTGGCTCCACTGGGTCCACTACTGCAGCTTCCTTTGTTGTTTCATCTATGATCCTGCAAACCAGATCACAAATTCATAGAATAAACATACAGAAAAGAAAAACCCTAAACCTGATATGAATTTAACAAAATTTAAAATAGACATCTGAATTTGAGCAACATACATATAGGAATAATTGTCATCTAAGCATGGAATGTGAAGAACTTTCATCTCGGGCGCCGATCAGATTATTCCACTCAGTTCTGTCAAGTTGGAAAAACGCAATTATCGAGCGCGCGTAGCAGATAACTGTTAAACTCTTGAGACTAGAATAACGTGGATAAGAGGTCGTTTGGCTTAGCTAATTTAGAGTAGCTAGCTGATTTAGAGTAGCTGACAAGCATAGGTAAGCAGCTAAAAAATTGGGTATACAAAAAGTTTTGTTTTAAAAAGAAGTATTTTAGGGATAGAATAGTAAATATTCTGGTCAAACCTAAAGTGTTTATAAGCTGAAATTTGATAAGTTGGGGGAGACCAACTTATGGCTTTTGGCTGCTTTTAAGCACTTAACTTATAAGAACTTTTAATTTTACCAAACGCGTAGATAAGCCAAAAAAGTGCTTATAAGCTAGTTTGACCATCTTATAAGCTTAGCCAAACACCCTCTAAGATTCCATGTTCCACAACGTTTGAGCAACTGACGTGGCAAGGAAAATAGTAAGGTATGTTTGGCTGGGCCAAAATAATTTTTGTTAATGGAGTTGTTAAAATGTCTAAGGCCCCGTTTGGCCATATATTTTAGCAATGTTTTTTCAAATCTTTTTTGAAAACATTATTTGTTCATAGATTGATGATCTATTTTTGAAAAATTTCTGAAATTATTTTTCAAGTTCCCAAAATCTAGTTTAGGGTAGATTTTGGGTGAAACTTGTTCTCCCACTCAGAAAATTTCAAAAAAAAATTCAAATAAAATGCATGTCCAAACATAATTTCAACTTCCAAAAATTATTTTTCAAAACTACTTCAAAAATTATTTTTTCAAGTTTGAATTAAATATATGTACAAACGCTAGCTAAAAGTTAAGATTTGAAGTTTTACCTAATTAGGATAGTTATTTTGAAGTTCTACCTAACTTGGACTGTTAATTGTCTTTTAAGTTTTAGAATTCAAAAGATATTTTAAAGGTAAAAATCTGATAATGAAATGTATTTTAAGAATTTATGTGCACTTTCATTATCAAACTTTTTGTGGAAAATAAATGTTGGGATTCTAAAACGGTGGTTTGGAACATCGCTTTGTACCAAGTGAAATAACAAAAATTAATAAGTAGATTCTTCATCTAAAATTTCTAATGATTTGTTACATGAAGAATTTATTGAATTGAGGCACTCTTTAGAAGAAGCAATCTGAAGTGAAATCACTTCTCAGGGCCTTAAACTACATGTTTAACATTTTTAGTATTTAAAAAAAGTATTTATTTTGGTACTTTTACTTTAAGTTTATTAAACTTAAGAAATTTGGCAATAGAGACCAAAAATATATATTACTTAAATTGATGGTCAAATGAGCTTATAACAAAAAATTAGAATTTTCTAATAACTAAGGGACCCAAAAAAAAAAAAGCAATTGTCCCTAAGTGAACTAAGAGAAAAAGTCCTCCGCCTAATTAATACTTCACAAAAGACATAAACAAGAAAAACTTTTCTTAAAAATTGCATTGGTCGCCCTGTTTAACCTATACCCATATTTTAAAATTTATTTAACCTATATCTTGATTTTTGCAACTTCAGGCGCCTCCTTCTTCCTGTTACCTGTGCGCTCCTTTCTTCCTCCTTTCTTTTCCACTTCTTCTTCTTCTTCTTCTTTTCTCTCTCAAACACATGAGACTCTGTGTAAGTATTATTGATTGAACATGAAATACACAGTGATTTAGCACTAAGGTATGAATTTTGCATTAAGTACATCTGAAATTTTATTCCCCCAAAAAAGAATTAAAGATGGTTCTTCTTAATGCTGCATTTCCTGATAATTCCATTATAGCAACTGGACCTTAATGACAACTTGTCATTGTTGTTTTAGAACTTCAGCTCTAAGAATGCTGAACTTCAGCAAATATAAACAAAAACTTCAGCTCCTAGAATGCTTAAGTTCAGCAAATACAAAACAAACTTCAGCCCTGCAGTTCATCACAAACATAACAAAGCTTCAGCTAAACCATGCTGAAGTTTCGCAAATATAGAACAAAACTTCAGCTAAAACATGCTGAAGTTCAACAAATAGAGAACAAAACTTCAACTAATAGAATGCTTAAGTTCAGCAATTACAAACAAAAACTTCAGCCAACACTTGGTTCAGCAATTTTTGCTACTTCAGACATGTCTACTAGAATGCTGATGTTTGTGTGATTGCCTTTGCTACTTCAGGCACGTATGCCTGAAGTTACGCAAAAAGTAGGTACGCTTGCAATTTTTTTTGCAAAGCGGGTACGCTTGTGATTCCGCTTTCCTATCAATCAAGGATTTTAATGTGTGTATTCTCTTTTCTATATTGAGTAACTTTGCTCCTCTAATAGTCACGACTCAAAATCCCACCAACGGTCGTGATGACATCTAACACGCCTGTTAAGCGTATCAATCACACAACTATCAAATAAACGGCAGAAATGAAGCATTATATCAAGTCTAAATGAGATTTATAAATAAGTCTCAAACCAACACCAATAATACAACCCACAAAAACTTATGTCAACGAGTACATGAGCTCTAAGTATATCAGAATACAATATTCTAAAATAAATACAGCAGTAGAATCTAGCAGAACAATGTATAAGATGATCAGGTACAATTAACAGAGATACTAGCATGTTTTTGATAAAGAATGGTCTAAAGCTCATACTGGTACATTGAGTCAGCATATAAGGATGATGTGAACCATAGAGCATTATGATAAATGCCAAGTTTGTGAGTCTATAATTTATATGCATGAATAAGACTTGCCGCCATCAACCGACCACCCCAAGTCTCTAACAAACCCGCGCACATAGGGCCCAAGGTACAATGGGTGATCACTTGACTCAGGAAGGATGGATCCAAATTCATGCACTGCACGGACAATACATGTTCTCATAGAAATATTACTCGCACGGGAAACTTACGCGCCATAACACTCATCTCGCGCGAACAACTCACATGCCTCAACCTCAGTCCGTACAAGAGAATCCATATGCAGATTGGCTGCATATGCATCATAAATAATATAAATGATGGATATGGGCAAGAAAAATATACATGTAAAGATGTAGGTATGTAAAGAGTGTGACTATAGCTAGAACAAGTAGTATATAATGTCGAAAATAGTTATTTACGTTCAACAAAGACATAGAATCTAACATAATTAAGAGAGATCACGTAGTCACACAAGAGTAACAACAAGTCATTAGTAGCAAATAATGTAAATCCAAAGAATAAAGTAGTCTAAAATCTACTCCGAGCATGAAAACCCATGGCACTCGCATATACGCTCGCCACCACGCATATACAACACCCTACAACTATAGCAATTAATCAAANCTTCAGCTACTAGAATGCTTAAGTTCAGCAATTACAAACAAAAACTTCAGCCAACACTTGGTTCAGCAATTTTTGCTACTTCAGGCCCGTCTACTAGAATGCTGAAGTTTGCGTGATTGCCTTTGCTACTTTAGGCCCGCATGCCTGAAGTGACGCGAAAAACGTCGGCTAAAATATGCTGAAATTCAGCAAATAGAGAACAAAACTTCAGCTAGTAGAATGCTTAAGTTAAGCAATTACAAACAAAAACTTCAGCCAACACTTGGTTCAATAAAATTTTTCTACTTCAGGCCCGTCTACTAGAATGCTGAAGTTTGCGTGATTGCCTTTGCTACTTCAGGCCCGTAAGCCTAAAGTTACGCAAAAAGTGGGTACACTTGCAATTTTTTTTACAAAGCGGGTATAAGTTAAAACGTGACCCAAAAAGTGGGTATAGATGCAAATGCCCCCGAACTTAATGACAACTTGTCATTGTTGTTTTAGAACTTCAGCTCTAAGAATACTGAAGTTCAGCAAATATAAACAAAAACTTCAGCTCCTAGAATGCTGAAGTTCAGCAAATACAAAACAAACTTCAGCCCTAAAGTTCATCACAAACATAACAAAGCTTCAGCTAAAACATGCTGAAGTTCAGCAAATATAGAACAAAACTTCAGCTAAAATATACTGAAATTCAGCAAATAGAGAACAAAACTTCAGCTAGTAGAATGCATAAGTTAAGCAATTACAAACAAAAACTTCAGCCAACACTTGGTTCAGCAATTTTTGCTACTTCAGGCCCGTCTACTAGAATGATGAAGTTGGTTTGATTGCCTTTGCTACTTCAGGCCCGTATGCCTGAAGTTACACGAAAAACTTCAGCTAAAACATGTTGAAGTTCAGCAAATAGAGAACAAAACTTCAGCTACTAGAATGCTTAAGTTCAGCAATTACAAACAAAAACTTCAGCCAACACTTGGTTCAGCAATTTTTGCTACTTCAGGCCCGTCTACTAGAATGCTGAAGTTTGC